TCCTGTGAGAGGAAAAGTGGTCTGTGGTGTGAAAATCACTCATCTGATGTGGACAAATAAAAAATGAGCAGTCTGGGGAAACAGGGCTAAGACCACAACCAGAGCATTTGTTAAAAAAGAAATACATCAGACCACCCACCCACCCAGCAACAAACAACCCAACAATAAAACTGAGGCTTTACAACTAGCTATGTATATTCTGTGCACTTGTAGAGATGAGCTGTTTTGAGTTTCCCGAATGATGCTGCACAGATTGTGCTCTGATTCTCAAGTATGTCAGCTTCAGAAGGAATCATGCCATTTTACATGCCACCAAAGATTAGAAATTCAGAAAAGATGCCTCATGCCTCAAGAATGCCCCAGATTTTCTAGATTTAAAATATTCAGCCCCAAGACATTTCTATGTTTTGTTACAGTGGACATTTGTTGTCCTAAAATTGAGTTTCCTAGCCATGTGGTTGGTGTGGGTCCTGTCTTAAGCCATAAGAAGCATATACTACTCCGGGTCGCAATTCGGGAGCGGACACGGGTGAATTCTAACCCTTTAGGCCAAGGGGGACTTCGTTCTGCATCTGCGCCATCAGGGAAGTGAACTCTACTCCCGTTGATAACAAAGCCACTGAGAACACCTTAAATGTTACATCAAAAACATCCTGGAGTAAACACCATCTTCACTTTCTAATAGCTGTTGTTTCTAAAGCTGAAGAAACATCTAGCCGAATCCCTGGGCCAATGTCAGTGCTATGACGGGAATTTCTTTAATCGGGCTGCTTCTCTAAGGGCCCAGGCATTTCCCAGAGCTTTTACAGCCCTTATACACTATCCATCCAGCCCACATCTGGGTATATTTGCAAATGCACCGGAAGCATGGAGAGCAATTCAAACATTTTCAAGTGAAACTGGAGCGGGATAAAGTAGAAATACATTAATATAATGAAATGAAATGATTTTGGATTTTTTTTTGGAAATTGGGAAATGATGGTGTGTGTAATGTAGACTTGTGATGCCTAACAACTCCTTCAAAAGTGAGATTAGGTTCCAAGTGAACTATTCTAAAAAAAGTAACAGCTATAACTTGAAGGAATCAATTCAGTCAAAAACAAAACCACCCCCTTCAGTAACAAGGAGAGGCGCATGCATTTAGACCAGTGGTTCTCAACCTTGGCTGCACATTAGAATCACCTGGGAATCTTTTTAAAATCCTGATTTCTGGGCCTCACCCTCTGGAAATTCTGTTTCTTTGTTACTAATGTTGTGGCCCCACCCCATAACAAACAGAATTTCCGGAGGGTGAGGCCCTGAAATCAGGATTTTAAAAAGATTCCCAGGTGATTCTAATGTGCAGCCAAGGTTGAGAACCACTGATTTAGACAATTGTAGCCCATTGCAGCTTTTCGAATCTCTTTCCAACAGGCTCAGGCTAAGATAGATGGAAGCCTCCTGGCTCTCTAAAGACGTTTTGTAGACTTAAAAATATAGCCTAAAACCTACCTATTTACCATAATTTCTAATTTTTTACTAGCAGTCAGGGTATTTTTTTTTTTTTTTTTTAGAATTTCTAAGGCATAGAAAGAGCTGTGACTTTGGCCACCACGAAGAACTGTTTGAGAAATAAACAACTGAAATGCAAAAAGTCAGGTGCAACTCCCAGTGTTATTACTAACAGCTTAAAGTTCTAACAAAAGAAGAGCACTTTTCCTTACGAAGACGTGAAAACTGTAAGAACGACTCTGAACCACAGGGTGGCCCTGACGGCAGGAATGGGTGGCAGCTCATTCCTGCCGGGATCCTTCCTTGGTGACAAGGCCACACACAGGACACAGCTCCCCGCTGTCACTGCCCGAGGCTCCCACTGCACTGCAGGCCCTGCTGTCGTCCTCGCCTGCCCGTCAGCCTTGTTTTCAGGGGAGCTACTCCGTGTTCTGAGAGAACTACTCCAGGCGTGGTTATGTTTCACGCACAATAATTCAGTTCCATTCCTTCATTCCACACATATGTCCTGAGCACTACCCCATGCTCTAGAACAGCGGTTCTCAACCTGTGGGTCGTGACCCCTCTGCGGGTCGAACGACCCTTTCACAGGGGTCGCTTAAGACCATTGGAAAACACATATATAATTACATATTGTTTTTGTGATTAATCACTATGCTTTAATTATGTTCAATTTGTAACAATGAAATTGGGGGTCACCACATGAGGAACTGTATTAAAGGGTCGCGGCATTAGGAAGGTTGAGACTGCTCTAGAAGCTACAGCAGTGACCAAAGGAAGAAAACAGTCAATACCGCCCACGCCCCCGCAGGGAAGGAAGCGGCTGCTCAGGGGTGCGGCTGGCACAGCAGGGTGCTTAATGCCAGGCGAAGGGTCTCCACCAGCACACACACAGGGCAGAATCTGGTGGCTGAAACCACAGCAAAGGGGGCCCCCACAAGATATGCTACTATTTTATATGAGTGAAAACTAACGATGCAGTTTTAAAAAGCAATTACTTTTACAAAAACCTTTTCAGGTGACATCTATAAAGTGAGGTACCCCTCCTCCTTCCTGGCACACAGGCTAGGCGGCCTGACAGACAATCCAACATGCCTGACACTAGCACAGGAGTCTGATTTAATGAGCTGAGGGCTTTGGAATGCAACACTTGGATGAAAGCAAGACTCGTCCCCACAAAGCTTGGTCTATCAGTGGTTCTCAATCTTCTGGCCCTTTAAATACAGTTCCTCATGTTGTGACACAACCATAAAATTATTTTCATTGCTACTTCATAACTGTCATGTTGCTACTGTTATGAATCGTAATGTAAATATCTGATATGCAGGATGGTCTTAGGTGACGCCTGTGAAAGGGTCGTTCGACCGCCAAAGGGGTCGCGACCCACAGGTTGAGAACCGCTGGTAAATTCATGTTAGGAGATGGAAATGCTGGCTCCTGCTGGGTTACCTGTTCAGAGAGCAGATTCCAAAGCAGGAAGTGCTTCTACAGTGGCAACCATTCCATGATCTGTGGCCGTCCCCACCTCCTGGGGGCAGCTCTCAGCCTTCGGTCAAGGGCACCAGGCAAGGTGAGGAGGGGAGGAGGGCCGGAAGCCAGGGATGGAGGTGTTGGGAAATTTAATTAGCACGTGTGAACCCAAGAGGCCCCGAGCTGAAAGCCATTGGACAAGTGTGAAGACGATGATTGCTTTTTGAGAACTCCTTTCCCCAGGAATGAACAAGCCGGGGAAAGATGAGCTGCTTAAGAGTTTTGTTTATTTTTTAGAAAATATTTGTTCAAGTGTTTTGTTGGTAAGGCTTCCAACAGTTTGTGCGAATAAACTTTTAACTTTACTGAAAGAGTGTATCTTCATCTCCCACAGCAAGGACTTGCCGGCCACGAAGAAAACTTGCACACGGGTCCACAGTGAACCCAAAGGCAATTTTATCACAAACATTTTATAACTCAGGAAAAGACTCTTTAATCTTCCATGACATCCTGTTCAATTCAACATGCAAGCACAGAGCAAAGAGGTCCCTGCTCTGTGAAGGCTCATGGGCCTGGGCAGGGGAGGTACGGGAGCCACTACAGATGCCAGTGAAATAACTTGAACAGAGGCCAGCTATGGTGGGACTACGACAGAGTAATAAACCCACTTGCAAGCTGGGAGCAGGCTTTTCACAGGAGGGATGTGGGCTGCATCTGAAAGATAAAGAGGCTTTCTGAAATGGAGATGAGGGGAAGGGCATTTGGGCCAGAAGAAAGTAAACGAACAAAGGCATAAGTACATTTGGAGAGAGCGGGCAGAAATGTGACTGGTAGAAATGGACGCAGTTGGGTTGTGGAAAGACAGGAGCCCAAATCCTCTCAGATTAAGGACTGGGACTTTGAAATCAATAAACAAGTGTTGGCAAGGATGTGGAGAAGAGGGAACCCTTGTGTACTGCTGGTGAGACTGTAAATCAGTGCAGCCACATGGAAAACAGTATGGAGGGTCCTCAAAAAATTAAAAACAGAGCTACCATATGACCCAGCAATTCCCTCCTGGGTATCTGAAGAAACAGAAAACACTAATTTGAAAAGACATATGCATTCCCTATGTTCACTGCAGCGTTGTTTACAATAGCCAAGATGTGAAAGTAACCCAAGTGTCCATCAGTAGACAAGTGGGTAAAGAAGATGTGGTACATTTATGTAGTGGAATATTACTACTCAGCCATAAAAAACAAACAACAACAACTTGTCATTGTGACAACATGGATGAACCTAGAGGGTATTATGCTAAGTGAAATAAATCAGAGAAATACAAATACTGTATGATATTTATATGTACACTCTAAAAAGCAAAAAAAAAAAAAAAAAAAAAGCAAACAAAGCAGAAACAAACTCATAGATACGAAGAACAGACTGATGGTTGCCAGATGGGAGCAAGTCTTGGGGGTAGGCAGAAAAGGCGAAGGGATTAAGGGATAGCAATATACTGCCTTCAACTTGCTTTTAAATGTCCCACCACTCCAGAGTTTATGGATCCCCCCAATCTTTAATAACCACACTTGCTATAGCGCATGGATGTGCAGGGATGTGCCACATCGCCAGTCTCTGCCTGAAGGGTACTGAGTGGGGGAGGAAGAGCATCGGTGTTGCCTGGCGGCAGGAGAAAGCTGACGCTTCATGCCACCTGCATCTGTTTCCCTATTGTGCTTTCTTTTGACTCAACTCTCTTGAAAGACACAGAAATATAGAAAGCAGCCGCCCACCCCAGCATGCCCATCTACTGCTGCCATCTCTCCTCACAGCAGGCCCTTCCAACCAGACACATAAACTGACAGTTATCTTTGATGTTTGTTTGATGCTTAAATAGAATCATAAACACCAGGAGCCGCTGAGACCTAGACCAGGCCTGAGCTTGCAAGTTAGAGCAGGCGAGACACACGTCCCAGTTACAGTAACTGTAAAAACAACTGCCTCGTGGAGGAATCATGAGAGAACTCAGGCACAGGCTTCTATTACACTGGGGTCCCACGCACCTCAAACTCCAGGTAGTGATCTTTCAGCTTGTACTCATCTATCTCCTTGGCCTTCACCTTCTTGTCCGGGGGGTACGAGCGGTGCTCGGCCAGTTCGGTGGTAATCTGCTTCAGCTTGCTCTCGTGTGACTTCAGCTGTTCCTCCTGCAGGAAATAGGAAGCCATTTAATGTCCGAAAATAAATCAATACAGAAATCCCTTCTGATGAATGACTTTAATTCACTGCAACACTCCCGTGAGCCTCGGCTGCCGCATCTTACCACCTCTCTCAAGCCAGTGGCCAGTTCCCAAGTACCTTTGGCAAAAGGACAACTGAGGCCAGCCTCCCTCCCCAGGCCCCGTCACAAAACAAAATGCTTTCAGAGCCTTTATCAGGTGTAACTGTCACGGAGCTGAGGCACTGCCTCCTGCAATACTCCAACACGCAAGGCACCGCCAAGCAGTTAGGCGCCTGTCCCGAGTGCCACACAGTGTGGCTTCTCCACTGCAGGGCCACTCAGCAATGCTGCTGGTTTCTCCGCCTGCCACAGTGACCGAGGAACCTCTCCGAGAGAAGCAAAGCCACCACGAAATAACTGTCTGAAAGCTATCAGATAGTAGTCTAAAAAAGGTAATAATCTATGCTTTTTCTCTCCAAAGTAGTACATGTTCTGATATCAAAGACTTTCCATTTTAGGGGGACCATTTATATCACCTTGGCAATAAGCTACCTAACAAGAGACACTATCAAACCTTCTAGCAGCATTTAAAAAAATGAAACTAAGAGATCGGAATTCTCTTGCATTCCTATAATTGCACAACTGCTTTGTTTACTATTCCACTTCCACATGTAATGATCCAAATTCTTGTTGAGTATAAATTTCACATGTACAGTAAGAAATGGATGAGAGCAAATGAAAGGGAGCTGATTATATTTCAAAATGTAAACATTTTATTCTAGATGAGTGGAATAATAAGAATACCAAAAAGGAATAATTATTGATACTAATTAAGATTATATGGCATCACTGTAAATTTAAGAAGATATTAAGAAGTTATAAGAGTCACGTATAATGTCTTCAGGATTTGTTATCATGCCTGTCCCGAAAGCCAAACAAGGGGGAAAAATCCAAGTTAAAAGCCATCAACATAGAAGAGAACAATGGAACATTTTAAAAAGCAAAGAATGCTCCACCGGTGTGGTTGACTGTCGACCTGTGAACCAGGAGGTCACGGTTTGACTCCTGGTCAGGGCACATATGGGGTTTCAGGCTCAGTCCCCAGTGGAGGGCATGCAGGAGGCAGCCAATCAATGATTCTCTCTCATCATTGATGTTTCTATTTCTCTCTCCTCTCCCTTCCTCTCTGAAATAAAAATATATTAAAACATAAAAAATAAAAAGCAGAGAACATGATTACAAAATGAACAACAGAGGTGGCAGGAATAAGCAGAGTGATTCAAAGATGATAAGACTTATTTTTAAATACCAACTGACCCAAAGAAGGCCCAGAAAGAATGGGGGGTGAGGAAGGGATGACCTGTTTTGAGATATTAGAAAGGGCTCTACATCTCCAACCCTGTCATTTGTACACTAATAATACTGAATGCAGCCAAACCGGTTTGGCTCAGTGGATAGAGCGTCGGCCTGCGGACTGAAAGGTCCCAGGTTCGATTCCGGTCAAGGGCATGTACCTTGGTTGCAGGCACATCCCGAGTGGGGGGTGTGCAGGAGGCAGCTGGTCAATGTTTCTCTCTCATCGATATTTCTAACTCTCTGTCCCTCTCCCTTCCTCTCTGTAAAGAATCAATAAAATATATTTAAACAAAAAATACTGAATGCAAATGAAAAACGTTTCAGGTAGCTTTTATTGACAACTTCTCATTCATCTTTCTCTCTCTTTCTCCAAGGAGACTATAGACCATGTAATGGACTGAATGTTTGTGTTCCTCCAAAATTCATAAGTTGAAGCCCAGTGTGGCTATATCTGCAGATGGGGCCTCTGAGGAACTAATTAAGGTTAAATGAGGTCATAAGAGCAGGGCCCTGATACGACAGAATGAGACACCACCAACAACACACTCTCTGGGCCCAGGCACCAAAGAAGGCTATGTGAGGATACAGAACAAAGGGGCGACTGCAACCCACAGGGACTCCCTCCCCACAGCCGTTGGCACCTTGATCGGGGACTTCCAGTCCCCAGGACTGTGACAAAGAAAAAGAAATTCTGTCATTTAAGCCGCCCAGTCTGTGGTATTTTGTTCTGGCAGCCAGAGATGACTAAGAAGAATGTATTAATAGCTATCTTATTTCCAAGTAATTTTCCTTTGTATATTTACTGTGACATATAAATTATTTAACAGAATTCTTGGCAAAAGATATTTGGTGACTAGACCATTTTGAAAAATAAAAAAATGAGTTATTTTTTGTTTAATAAAATGTCTCGGGTATAAAAAAGTCATATTGAATGACATATGATGAACACTCATGTATCTAACACCCAGTTTAACAAATAAAATATAAAAATAATTGAAACTTCTTGTATTTATCTGCTCACCTTATTCCTTTTCTATGTTATTCCTATACCATAAAAATAGAGAATTTGTTCTTTAGGTTTTTATATTTAATAAGTTTCCTTTTGTAACTTGTTTTTTCATTGGCATGTTTTTGAAATTTATTCACATAGAAGCTTTACTTCCCTCCTTTTATCCACCATGTAGTATTCCACTGCAGGACAAACTACAATTTCACTGAAGGATATTTAGATTGTTTTCCAGTTTCTTGAGGCTATTATAAGTGATAGTGCATTAAACATGTTGCCTAATAAATACAAGCAAGGGTTTTCCTATTATATAATCACCAAGAGGTGGCATTTCTGGGTTTCAGAATATGCACACCTTTAAGATGACCCTAACCCAGGGGTGGGCAAACTTTTTGACTCGAGGGCCACAATGGGTTCTTAAACTGGACCGGAGGGCCGGAACAAAAGCATGGATGGAGTGTTTGTGTGAACTAATATAAATTCAAAGTAAACATCATTACATAAAAGGGTACGGTCTTTTTTTTTTTTTTAGTTTTATTAATTTCAAACGGGCCGGATCCGGCCCGCGGCTGCCCTAACCTATGTTCCAAGTGTCCCCACAGTTTCCATTTCCACAGGAAGTTTTAAAGTCCCACTGCTCTACATTCTTGCCAACATTTTATATCACACCTGCACAATTTGTGCTAATTTCCTTAGTATGAAATGATTAGCCATTATAGTCTGAATCTGCATTTCTCTGATCAGGGGGAGGAAGCACATGGTTTCACGTTTCCAGCGTTTCCTCTTCTGTGGACTGGCTGCTGAAATATTGGACTGATTTTTTTATTGGGTCTAGATTTGTAAAGCATAGTGATTTATTGTTTAACAAAATGAATTGTTTCCTTTTTTGGTTAATAAAATGATTAGAATCCAAATACTAGCTTTCTTTTCAAATAAGATTTAAAGTAACTTGTTAAAAGAATTTTCAAAATTCTCTATAGTTTTGGACTTTGCCTCTGTGTAAATATTCTTTTATTTAATAAAACCTTTATTGTTGAAAGTATTACATATGTCTCCCTTTTCCTCCCATTGATCCCTCCTCCTAGCCCCGCCTTCCCTATCCTCCCCCAGGCCTTCACCACCCTACTGTCTACATCCATGGGTTATGCATATATGCATACAAGTTCTTTGGTTGATCTCTTTGAAATATTCTTTTAGATGTTTGCATCTTCCAAAAGCTTTAGAACTAGGTTTCTCCATCTTTCATAAATCCCAATTTCTATGAATTTTAATGAAGAATACATACCAGAACAACACTGTGCAAAGCATATTATATTTGTCATTTTCCTACCCAAACCACAGTTTAGTAGGATTTATTCATCGTTATTAAGCTATGATTTATAAACCTGACTATTTCTATCCTATCTAATAAAAGACAAAAAGGGTAATTGACCATACCTTCGCTATGCTTCCCATTGGCTAATCAGGGTGATATGCAAATTAACCACCAACAAAGATGGCGGTTAATTTGCATACGTAGGCTCCAAGCAGTGGAGTGAAGCCAAACATACCTGAAGCCAGCCCAGCAGCGAGACCTCACGCCCCCGGGACCAGCAGAGCAGCGAAGCCTGACGGCTCAAGGGAGAGTGGGGGTGGGGGCTCTGGCCGGAGCCCAGCCAGAGCGAAGGCCTGGGTCCTGGGTGCCAGAGGAAAACTGGTGCCAGCAACCAAAGGAAGGGAAGGCCTATTGCACGAATCTCTTCATGCAACAGGCCTCTAGTAGCAGTATAAAGGGCTAGCCATTTGGGCTATGTTTTTTTATGAAGAAACTAGTTGAAGGAATGTTGAAATTCAATCTGCAATGCTTAACTCCTACTGTACTTTACTGCCTTCATGTGCAAGAATTAAGGAAATAATTTCAAAATAAAAGCATTTTAAAACTGCATTTCTTACTCTGTCCATTTTGACCAGTGAAATAACAATACCACATGTCTCTTATGGGCATAGGTAAGTAGACGATGCCAATGATTCCAATGATCTAACCCGTGGTAAAGGAGGTACACAGACTGACGGAGGAAATGGAGGAGAAAGGCAGCGGCCGTGGAGGCGTGCTGCATTCTCAGACTCGGGACAATGAAATTTTAATAGACACGATGGAGAAAGACAAAGTAGGAGCCCTGCTGTTTCTCTCCCCTTTGTCTCTGCCCTGATGATTAAGTGGGGGAGCAAATATGCTGCTCTTAGAGACAATACTAACAAAAGGGACTTCAGGGAAGGCACAGAAATACATCTGACCAAGTTAAAGAGGGGCACAGAGAGGGGAAGTGGCATGCACTCATGGGAACTGTTTGAAGTTAGGTGATCACTTAAGGAGTGACATTAAATAATAGATGCAAGAGAAATTACCGTGGTTATGTGTCAGTAGGTGTAATTGATAAAACCTTTGATAACATATACAATGAAATTTTATCTAAAAGGCAAGTTTTAAATGACATCACCTAAGATTTAATTTTTCTTACTTATATAGAACTATGAGGAAAATTTCTTTTTTTGTTTGTTTTAAAATACTGAGCTCTGATTCATCTCTGTGAAGAAAGCATTTCTAACACATGAGGGGATGGGGCCAGGCAAGTGGATGTTCAAGA